GAACCATCATATACTGAAATCGGAGAATATCCTACGAATCTTCAGTTAGAAAATTGGAACGGGCACGTAAAAACATATCTCAAACAACTCAGAAGAAAACAAGAAAAGGCAGAACGGCGAGCAAGCGTAACCCTTAGTGCTAAAGCAAAAGGATATATTGGCGCAATATTTCAAGGAACCTCTAGACAAACAACAAGCCCTGAACCTGAAGGAACCGAAAACGAAGACGAATTAGAGGAAGGTGAAATCAGCGAACAGGCAAATTTTTACGCGACTAAACCATACACAGCCCTCCCAGGATCATCAGATATCCCGACCGCATACGGAACCGAGTTACACAAGAAAATACAAGGAGCCCGAAGACTATACGCGACTGCCGCAGCACTAGTGCGTGATAACGATAATCGAAAAGGCAAAAATAAAGCAGACGACGAAGAATCAGATCATTTAGTAATAGCAGACGACCAAAGCGATTTAGAACAAACTAAGAAGGTTACTCCCAAGAAACAGCAAAAACAACCTGCAGTTCAAAAACCACCTACTCCTCCACTAGCACCACCTACCCCTCCACCAGCGCCACCTACTCCCCCACCAGTACCACATCAACAACACATTGAAGAGGACGAAATGGCACACGCACCTTATCCCGTATTTAATGGTTCAAACCCGCGTAAATGGATTATGGACCTGGAATTAGCCTTTACCGCTAATGGCTTAGCAGCGGACGCTAACGCTAGAAAAATCGGAATAGCAGCTCTTAATTTAGGACCCGCCAAAATGTGGTATGGCATGCTCGCAGCCAAGCCCGACGCATGGACCAATGATCAAAACCCATTTGGATTTAAAGAATTGTTTTTAACTAAATACGCGACAGAAGCAAACAGAGCTCAAGCCGCGCAACAAGCACATACTCGTATGCAATTGAAAACGGAATCCATCGAAGATTATTATAGCGCGTTGCAAGAGCGCTGGATGGAATGCGGAAATCAAGATCAGATACCCGAATGGATGAGAATGAGCCAATTTATCAATGGTCTATTACCAGCATATAGAATACCCGTTCTACAACAGGCCCCGGAAACCTTAGCAGACGCGGTCCAAAAGGCAAACAATTGTTACTACGCGATGCAGACAACCGTCCAATACACGCATTCCGCCGAACCATATATGGAAACAATGGTAGCGGCGATGCAAGAAATGAATCAAAACAT